AAAAAAAAAAAAAAAAAAAAACCGAGGCCCACTTAAGATGATAAAATAAAGTAGGTCAACGTTGCCCAATCATGTTTCTAAAATTTACATCACCATTCCACTCACTGATAATGGGCACCGATGGGAAACGGGAACATCAGTGTGTGTAGAATCTAGGCGAGCAGATGGTTTTGCCATCTGTGGCTTCCTATTATTCTTCCACAGTAGTTAAGAATGTTATATATCCACATCGGTAACATCTCCATCCCACACCTGCTAGCAAGAGTACATGGCCCAGAGCAGCCATCTAGAAACCATGAGGGTTCCTAGAAAGACTGACTACATTTATTAAAGTAACGAATTAATAGAATCAGACAGACTCTTTCAGAGCCTAGTCTGAATCCACGCGCGGGAAAGCAGAGACCAAAAATTTTTTTCCCCTCATCTATTCCCTACAGTAAGGAGCACAGCAAATATTTTATCTTTTAACTCTTTAGACTTACGTGGTCTCACTAATTCTAAGAAAAGCCCTACGGAGAGCCAGCTCAGAGTGGGCAAGTAACCTGCTCCAGCCACCCAGCAAGCAAATGCAAGGGAAGGAGGGCTGGGGCTCAAACCCGGCGGGCTGGTCCGGAGTGTTCAGGTACCGCCGGTTGGGCGACTGGGCTGGGCCCAAGGGGAGCCCAGAGAAGGGACAGGCTCCTCAACCTCGCTCTCTGTAAACCCTAAACTCACCTTTACCTACTTCTGAAGGTCTGGGTTCAATTTTGTTTTTAAAAGTTCAGTCACACTTACGGTACTCTTGCCTCGTAAGGCCCGCCTTTGGAAGGCTCTGTTCCCCTTCTAAGGCAACTACCTGGTCCCACTTTAGGCCTGGATTTTTATTATTTCCGGTTTTCTTACAAACAGGGATTCCAGCAAACTGGTAGTGAAGACAAGATGCTGTGTAAAGACCCCGTGACTCTACCGTACGCACTCGATCGGAGTCGGAGAACAGACCCAGAACAAGGCCCCCACTTCTGGGTCGCCCCCAATACGCAACCTCCGCCAGGGATCAAACCACAGATGGCCTCAGTGGTTCAAACGGAGCTCCCAGCCTGCGTACTGGCTCCCCCGCACATGCCGCCCTCCACGGGGAGCTCGGCGGCCGGCCCTCGGACCCGGGCTCGGGGCTGCCGGGAGAACAGAGCGCCGGCGTTGAGGGACAGCCTCAGGCCGCCCGCCCCGCGCGGCGCTCCCCGGGGTGGGCTGCGGGAGCCCCCGCCAAGGGCGTCCTCACCTCTCCGAGTCCCTCGGGGCCCCGCACCTCCACCCGAGGGCCCGCGCGGCGGGCTCCGGCCAAGAGCTGCCTCCGCTCCCCGAAGCACTCCCTCCAGTCCCAGGCTGTCCACCCCCGCCCCGGAATACCCCCACTGCGTCCCCAGCGAGGGCCGGGCCCGGGATCCCCAAGCCCGGCGCGGGCCGGCCAAGGCCACGTGCCCGCCCTCTCCCGGCCACCGCCCGCCGGGGGGTTCCGGGCCTCTCGGGTTGTGCCCGGCACGAGCACGCCCGCGCTTACTCAGCACCAGACGAGCCATGCCGAGGGCCAGGGCCGCCGCGCACTCCCGCCGCCACCGCTTCAGCGCCGCCGCTTTAGCACCGCCACGCCGCGCCCCCGCCGCCCCAAGTCCGGCCCTCTGCCCCCGAGGCTGGCGTCGGGCTGCGCCGCGGAGGCGGGCCAGAAGGCGCTCGCCAAGCCGTGGCCGCGGCTCATTGGTCTCAGCAGACCTCGTTCATTGGTACAGCCAATGAGAGGCGGCCGGGTAGAGGTTACCGGTTTGGTTTTTTTTTTTTAAACAGGGGCGGGGCGAGTAACAGAAGGAGGGACTTGCCAGGGGCGGGGCTAACCCTCCTCTCTTTTCCCAGTGGCCCTCAAATTCCCTGCCGAAGCTGGTGTCTTGGTAGCTCTTCTGCCAGAGTCCAGTGTCTGGTTTTTCTAATCTGTCCGGTCCTCATTCCCTCTCCCCCCAGTCCTTCCCCCTAACGTCCTTTTTCTAGCCCTCATTCCTTGCCTCCCGCCTCCCCCACACTCCGCACCCCTTACTTTCTGTCCTCAGGAAGGATAACTTTCTTTGGGCTCTCAGTGCATCTTCGACCTTATTAAAAGACATTAATTTTTCTTGTGCCCAGACAGGTGTTCAGTCATACAACACTTGCTAAACACATATGGTATATAATACGATTCAACAAATATTTATTTTGTTGAGTTACTTTAAAAGTTCCCTGTCTAGAGCACAGGACTGTGCAAAGCCTCTAACAGACAGAACCCCTTTCAATGTAGAACCCCGTAGGGCTTAAGTTTCAGGGCTCCTCACAGGGTTTCCGTCCTCACCCTAGCAATGCATTCATGTGGTCATGTGTTTTGTAAAATTTGCAAAAGTAAAGGATTTTAAGCATAACAGGCTAAGACTACTGTGTCTTCCCAATCTGATTTCCCCCCCATGTTTGGAGTGGATATAAGCATCTTGTTTCTGTATTAGTAATGTACTAGTAACGGTTTATTTCTCTGTAGTGCTCAATACATAAAACAGCTCTAATTCTGGCCAAAGCATTTATGGCACAGTGGGTCCAGGAGTGAGCGATAGTGGGTGAGGCTTCCCAGAGGAAGTGGCACTAGAGCTGAGTTGGGAAGCTCTGCCAGGCAAACAGAGGCGTCAGTCATTCCAGGCACAGCGGGCAGACGCAGGGAGGAAGGCTCAGCAGGGTGAACTGAGACCATGAAGAGAAAGCTGGCAGCAAATGCCGGATTATGGGGTGTTGCTTCAGGGTTCTGTGACATGGTGAGACATTCAGATTATATGCAGGCTGGGCCCCCTAGATCCCTGATATTTGATTCTCTATCATCTCTTTGGGTTCATTGATGTTGTTGTAGAATCTAGGATTTGGTGTGTAAGGGTAATCAATGGTGGCCTCAGAAACAAACAACCCTACAATATCGGTGACTTATTCATAATGGTTTGTCTCTTGCTCTCATTGGGGAGTGGCTCTCCACGTGGTGACCCTGGGACTCGGGCTCCTTCCATCTCACAATGCCACCCGTTTCTAGAATATGCACTCCCAACATGGGACATATTGCCCCTAGAAGGGTAAAATTGGTCCCTGGAGAGGCAAAGAGTGAAAAAATCTTAGCCATTACAGGGACCACAGTACATAAATGGATACAAGTATATCTGTGTTTTTCGAATTTCATGGGAGAAAGTAAAGTAGGGAAGGAAATGTCTAAAAGTCTCCTTGGGAGAGTGATAATTTCAAAAAAGGCCAAGAAATACTTTTTTGGAACAGTGCCGTCAAATAGAAATATAACGTGAGCCACACCACATATGAATTAACAAATTTCTAATAGCCACATTAAGAATATAAAAAAAGAGTAATAATTAATTTTTTAATAATAGTTTAAGAGAAAAATATCCCAAATGTTACCATTTCAACATGTACTCATATGAAAATGATTAATGAGGTTTTTTACATTCCTTTTTTTCATACTAAGTCTTTGAAATGCAGAGTGTATTTTACACTTCCAGCACATCTCAAGTTAGATTGGCCACATTTTATAGCAGCTACGCTTATTGGACAGCATAGTTCTAGAACCTCCTTAGAGTCCTCAGTGGGTTCTTCTGTTTGACTGAAAAGCAGAGAAAATGAGTCTCCTACCCGTATCCGAAGTAGGAGGCGGGAAGCCTTCTGTCCTGGGGAGCCGCTCGTGGCCCTCACAGCCTATGGGAGATTGCAAGGGTTTTTTTGTTTTGAGTTTTCTCCCTTTTTTTTTTTTTCATTAAGTACCCTTAAAAAAAAAGTTAACATTGTTATGGACTGAACAGTGTTCCCCTGCCAAATCCACATGTGGAAGACTTCATCTCTAAATGACTGTAAAAAATGAAGCTGACCCCAGTTTCTCCAGGCCAGATGTGTCGGGGCAGCCATCCTGCTCAGACCGGCCCTCTAGGAAAGGTGGCCTTCCATGACCTGTGTGGTCTCTGTCCCAGTGTGTCTGACCGTCTTGAGAAACAGAGGCGAGATCATTGCTTCCTGCTAGGTCTTCCAGAGCACTGGCTGTTCTGGGCCAGGGAAGGAGCAGCTCCCCACACAGCACTCACTTTGCGGAGCATGCTGAGCGCAGCGGGCAGGCTTCCCAAAATGCACCAGCTTACGAGCTGCTCACTTCTTTTTTTCATTAAAACAAAATGCATATTAGTGACCTAACTATGGTCTGTACAGTTCCAGGCACGGCCACTGGCCCCAGGGAATGCTCATCCAGCAGAAAGGCCCAGAAGAAAAACTTCTTTTTGTGTTTGTTTGATTACAGTGGTAAAATATACATAAAATAAAACTGACCATTTTAATCATTTTCAAGCACACAGTTGGGAGGCATTAAGTGCATTCACATTGTGCGCGACCGTCACCTCCACCCATCCCCAGAGCTCTTTGTCTTCCCAGACGGAAATTCTGGCCCCACTAAACAACTCCCCATTCCTCCTCTGCCCCTACCCCTCGCACCCACCCTCTACTTTCTGCCTCTGTGGCTTTGATGTGTTTACGTTCCTCACATAAGTGGCCTTATACTGTATTTTTCTTTTTGTGTTCTTTATGAGAAACTGGATTATTTCACTTAGCATAACATCCTCAAGGCTCACCCATGTTGTAGCAGGTGTCCGAATTCCTTCCTTTTCCCCTTGTCTGGATAGACCACGGTTCTGCCAGTTCATTCATCTCCCGGGGCCCCTCGAGTTGCTACCACCTTGACACTACCACTAATCAGATGGAAGCTTCACTGAAGGGGTTTCCCCCGCTTAGCTTACCGGCTGCACTAGCAGTGGCGGGCTTGGGGCTCTTCCTTGCTAGGAAGCCAGTGGGCAGGACAAGCAGCTCAGGCTGAGGGTGAGAGAGGAGGTGAACAAGATGGGCGAGGGGAACCACTCTATTACCGAGTGCTCACGGGGTGTAGGCAGGGGCAGATACTGATATACGTGAACCTGAGAAAACTGCTTTTGCTAATCGACAAGAGCATATAGTGCCAAGAACCTTGTGTCCGGAAGGTACCAACTGTCTGAAACTGTGCTGTTTGAAATCAGTACAGCAAGAATGGAATATCCCTCCTTCGCCTAGAGGGGTTGAGTCACTTTGACACTGAGGAGCAGCCCTGATTTCCAACCCAGGGTTTTCTGGACTTAACACCACTTCTCTTTGTAGTTTCCAAGGAAATAGGACCCTGAATCCAACTGGCAGCCCAGGTCTGATGTTAACCTCTTTGTATACAACTCTGTTTTGCTTTGAGCCTATTTGAAAACTGCTTCATTTAAATTTTCCCAAAATCCTATGGTAATCCTGTTTCCTCCTTTGGTGAGAGTGTTCCTCAGTTTCTCTGGGCTGCCCTCTCCCCCCACTACCCACACACACTCACCCTTGTTTCAGGAAACCACAAAGCCTAACTTTCTTGATCTGTGGGTTTGTCCCTGGTGATCTTTATCAGATGGGTCGTTTCATGTATTTTGTTTCATTTAATCCTCGCCCAAATCCTGCAATTAGATACCACTATTCTCGTCTTGCCGAAGGAGAAGCTGAAGGCCAGAGCATGCTCTGGGTGGCAGCAGCCTTGGGGTTCGCAGGCTGGGGCTGGAAGCTCGGAGGCTTGCTCACTCCCCTCTGAAAGCCGCTGTTGGCTGTCAGCTGGGACCTGGGGGGCTGTTGGCAGGAACACCCACAGGTGCCTCTGCCTCTGATCTCTCAGTCTGGGCAGGCTGGGGAGGTCCTTTCTCGCCTGCAGGCCGGGATCCAGAGGGAGCATCCTGAGGGGGAGGAAGAGGAAACTGCTGGTTCGAGGCCTGGGCCTGGAAACTGTCTTTGTCGAGCAGTCACAGAGCCCAGATTCAAGGACAGGGGACACAGACCCACCTCTCAATAAGAAGAGTGTCAACCAAGTTTATGGCCATGTTTTAAAAGAGCCTTCAGAGATTTCTTTAATAAAGGAGTTGGAAATGTATTCAGATTAGAATATCCTCTTCTGCTGTTGAAATTCTGCTCCTCGTTTACATCCCGGCTGAAAGCTGCCTACGTCTCTGTTCCCTCTCAGCTGAAGTTAGGCGTGGCCTCATCAGCCTCCCCGGGGCACCTTAACTTGTTGGCTCTCTACCACTGCCCTGTAAGCGAGTGGGGGGCAAGGCTGAGTCAACTGCTCTGCACTCCTCGTAGGGCCAGAGAGGCCCATGACAAGTACCCAGTAAAGAGCTGGAGAAATGATCCTAACTGGGAAGCTGGGGGATCAAGAGAGAAGAGCAAGGGGGTCAGGGGAGGCCAGGTCCCCCATTCTCCTTGGGGGGCCTCTGGCTCTGTGGTGGGGCATTGCCTCCTATTCAGGAATATCTGAGTTGATGTTAACCAAACACCTAGAAAGCGGAAGCATTGTGGGAGAACTCGGCGCTTTTCCCGAAGGCGGAAGCATTGTGGGAGAACTCGGCGCTTTTCCCTCTGCAGGGTTGCAGGTGTTTCTGTGGCTTTGAAGATCCTAGCCAAAGGCAGGAATAAATGATTTCTGATGTACTTCAAACAGAGAGAACTGCGCATATGTTCCTTATCTGGGAAAATTTCCTGAGGAGGCATTTCATAGAACAATACGATCTCCACCCTCTGTGCCATCTAACAAGTCAAATGGGTGGCTCCGGTATCGACCA